TAAGTCTGTAGTCTGTAGCAGTAAGTTTGAAATTATCGGGGATGTTAATTACACAAGTGAATCTCAGGCAAATAGTCCTTGGACTCTCTGTAACTGAGCTTTCTGTTTTGACAAAATGAGAAAAATAGGAATAGTTTTTGCATAAAGTTAAATTTATTGTTTTCAAGTTCTGAGATTCAGTTTTTAAACTCTGAGATAGTTTTTGTTTTTGATATCTTTTATGAAAAGGTAGTGGTATTAAATTATAATTTTATGTTTGTGTGTATATACATAACTATAATTTAGGTTTGTGTGTGTGCATGTGTGTGTGTGTGTGTGTATGTATACACACAAAATATTTTTCCTTATTGCTATTAACTTGGCAGAATCAAAGTTGGTAGTCTGTTGTTAGTCCTTAAATTTCTTTTGGAATTTTGCTTTTCGGATAAATTCAGAATTTGATGAATTCAACTATTTTCAGTTCTCCAAATTTGCCATTTTCTTCTTTTTTTGCGCAGCTTTGATGTCACCGTTTCCAGGAAGTTAGCATTCATTAACTTACTAAAACCCTGAGTGGAGTACTCTTTCTGTAAGCACCCTGACTTACTTTTGTGATGGCCTTAAGCACCTGCTTTTATTAGTAGGCCATGAATTGGCTAACTTTTTTCTATAAAGTGCCAGATGGTAAATATTTTAGGTTTTTTGGGCCACATACAGTCTCTGTTGTATATTCTTTTTTTTTCTTTTCTTTTTAAATGATCCTTTAAAGATATAAAAACTATCCTTAGCTCCTAGGCTGTACAAATAACTGGCTGATGGGCCGAATTTGGCTCTAAGCCATCTATATATTCTTGCAGGTAGGTCTGTTGTTTCATTCATCATTGACTCTCCAGGATATAGCACTGGGCTTGGCATACAGGAAATATATATTTGTTGGCTTAAAATGATGAATGAATAAAGCTTTTATGATTATGGGGTATTGTTTATTTTACTCTCTCAATATTAGCACATGTCTGGCACATTAAAGCTCACTTTATGTCTCATCAGTTAATGAATGTTGTGCTGCTTCTTTTATGTCCTCAGTACATCCAGCATCTGCCTCCTTTGCTGTGCTTAGTGCACTTATACTATTTTGAAGGTGTGACTCTTCATTTTTCTGAAGAAAATTAATGTCCTTTGAGAGCAAATGAGATTTTACTTCTGTGCAGGGACAGTAGAGGGAACAAAGACTCAAATTAGTGCATTGGGAATTAAAATTCAGTTTGCTTTCTGGCCTCAGGAGTTCCTAATTTCTAGCCTAACATATTTATTATGGGGAATACTTTCCTCTTTCCTCTTACTTGACTTCTCTGTACGTTTTCCTTAGCTTCCTGCTGTCATCGTAGAAAGTTCTTTAACACCTCATTTTCCTGTGTAGATAATAAAGAAGGCCCTGTATTACTGTGTTACTACTGATTTTCAATTAGCCTTCACACTTCCACAGTATTTTTTTTTACAGATAGTTTATTGTCAAATTAGTTTCCACGTAACTTCCACAGTATTTTTTCCTTTTTTCTTATATAATAATTAAAATTATAAATCTTTTTTTTAAATTATTGATTCCTTGGCTCTTCCCAGCTCTACTTAAAAGTATAATGACAAGGGGTGCCGGGGTGGCTCAGTCAGTTTAGCTTCCGACTTTAGCTCAGGTCATAATCTCACAGTTCGAGCTTTGAGTCAGGTTCTGTGCTGACAGCTCAGAGGCTGGAGCCTGCTTTGGATTCTGTGTCTCCTTCTCTCTCTGCCCTTCCCCCCCCCCCCCCCCCCNAAAATTATAAATCTTTTTTTTAAATTATTGATTCCTTGGCTCTTCCCAGCTCTACTTAAAAGTATAATGACAAGGGGTGCCGGGGTGGCTCAGTCGGTTGAATGTCTGACTTTAGCTCAGGTCTTGATCTCACAGTTGGTGGGTTTGAGCCCTACATCTGCTGACAGCTCAGAGGCTGGAGCCCCCCCCCCCCCCCCGCCTTGCACTCTGTCTCTCTCTCTCTCTCAAAAACAAATACGCATTAAAAAATTTAAAAAGTATAAATGCTGCTTATCATGGAATGCCAAATTCATTTTTTCTTCAAAAAGAAGTAATTATAGGAATTACTGTAGAGAAGGATCACTTTTTACTTCTTTTGGTAACAAGATAATGAGAGCTGTGGGGGAGTGGAATAGATTGGAGATAACAGTCTATTAGTATCTTGACTGTCATTTATAAAAGTAGTTAAGTAGTGAGTTGGGAATAAGTAGCAAGCAGTTGAGTTTGCTTAATGGCATCTGGCAAAACTTATTACTTTGTTCTATATATTTATATAGAGTTTCCCTTGTGAGCTGTCATATAGCTTAACAGAAATCAGAATCCTCCCAAATAATGTAACATTATCAAGATTTACCTATTGACATGGGAGTTGAAAAAGTCTTTAAATTTAGTCTTTATTTCTCTTTCTTTGTATGCATTTACACTTAATTCAATCCTAAGAGATATATGACATTCCTTTAGGTCATTAAAGATTGGGGCTGTTGCCATGGCCTGAATAAAGTGTATGAAATTTGGTATTGTGGTGAGGAGATAGAAGTGAATAGAGCCATTACAGGGTGTTATGTCACTTCCTACCATGGTGTTTTGGTTGATTTTGGGACTTTTCTCTTAGAATGACAAAATAGCAGTGAGTACTTTTGGCATCTTGTCATAAAACTGAGGGAGGGGATCAGTAGTGGGAGATGAGGTCAGAGATGTAATGGCGGTTGTAGAGATGGTGGGGCAGATTATATAAGGGCTCACAGATCACTGTAGAAGATGTATTAATCTGCACAGGATGTCATAATAAGATCTTACAAATTGGGTGTTTGAAACAACAAAAGTAGTTTATTTTTTTCACAGCTCTGGAGGCCAGAAATTCCAGGGCAAGATATGGCCTGGTTCTCTGGGTGAGAGTTGTTTTCTTGGCTTGCACATGGCTGCCTTCTTGTGTGTTCTCTTATGGCATATAGTGAGTACTTTGTTGTCTCTTCCTGTATGCATACTAATCCTGTCAGATCAGAGCCTTACACTAATATCCTCATTTAATCTTCATTACCTCCTTAAAGGCCATATCTCCAAACACAGTCGCATGGTGGGAGTGGGATTTGAAGGGACACACTCAGTCTACAACAGGGTTTTAAGCAGAGTAGTGACGTGTTCCATGACTGTTAAGAGGATTGCTGTAGCCCAGTGTTGAAAATAGGTGGGAGAGGCAAGCATGGAAGCAGGGAGACTAGTTAGAGGGCTATGGTGATAATTAAGAGATCATATGGCTTAGACCAACATGGTGGCAGTGAAAGTGACAATGAATAGCGATTAGATTCTGGATATATTTTGAAAGTAGAACCAACTGAATTTTTTGCTGGATTGATATGGATGATGTGACATCAGGGTTGGTTTTTGGCACGTGTAGTTGGAGGTTGCCATGAGCTGATAATGTTGGAAAAGGGTTTAGATAGAATAGTTTTGGGATAATGGATTTCAGAAGTTAAGGTTTGAATATGTTGAGTTTGGTGAATAGGTAGTTGGATCTACAAGTTTGGAGTTCAGGAGTGAATTCTGAGCTAAAGATATGTATTTGAGAGTCGTTAACATATGGATGATATTCAAAGCCAAGGAATGGAATGATAATTACTAAAGAAGTGAGTATAGATCAAGAATAGAGCACCAAGGACTAAGTTAAGGACTAAGCATTCCATTGTGGGAAGAGATGTGGGTGGAAAAGAAGGACTAGCAAAAAAGACTGAGAACACCATTTTAGTGGAGCTGGAAGAAAAGCAAGTGTGCAGGAACAAAATGTCAGACAAAGGAAGTGATGAAGTGTGATAAACGCTGCTGAGAGTCAAGTAAGAAAGGACTGAGGATTCACTCTAGCATTTTTCAGTGTGGAGGTAATTTGTGGTCTTGTTGAGCAGTTTCAGTCGAGTAGCCAATTGGAGTGGGTTTAAGAGAGGTGAGGAGAGGAATTGGAGATAGAGTGTAGTGATTCTTTTGAAGGCATTTTCCTGCAAAGGGGAGCAGGAAAATGGGGAGCTGGCAGGGGAAAGGGGATTAAGAATACGATAGGAGGAATAATTGAATGTGATAAGATTGATTTAAGAGAGAGAAAAAAACTTATGATAACTCAGAGGGGAGAATTGCTGAACTTGGTTATCCTCAAGGTGGAGCGAGGAGGTGGATCTAGTGGAGAAGTGTAGGGCATGCCTTTTAGATAATAGTCATATTAGAGTTTTGAAAAATAGAATGAGATATTATTTGAAATAGCTTTAAAATTATAAAAGTAATGCATATATGATACATATTCAAATTGTAAAAAAGAATTCCAAAAAGTCCTACTCCTTTGAGGTGCTTTTAATAGTATTTTTTAGAATCTTTCCAGAAGTTTTCTATATATGTGAAAATGTGTGATTCTTTTTTATCCCAGTGAAAATTCTGTATCTTACTTTCTTAACAGTTTATATTGGGACCTTTTCTCATTAACACGTATAGAATTTTCAAAATTGCTGTATGTATTTTCATTGTATGGTTGTACCTTCATTTATTTAGCCAGTTGCATATTAATATTCACTGTGTTGTCTTACTTTGCTATTACAAATAATAATGAAATGGTTATCTTAGGGGTGTGTGTGTGTGTGTGTGTGTGTGTGTGTGTGTGTCTATTTGCTCTCATATACATTTCTGGAAGTTAATTGCTGGGTCAGTGAGATTGTGCATTTTGCAAGTTTAACAAACTCATCACAGTTAGATAATCTTTTAGGTTCTTTCAGTTAACATGCTTTGAATTTGGAAACAATTCCTTTAATTTCATGGAAATAATTATTTTTAAATACATTTGTCTTTTTTGTGCATAGTCTCAAAAACATAAATATAAAGTCCTTTTCCGGGAACCGGACACATGGTGGAAGTTCAAACCAAAGGAACTTGCAAGGTAAAATGTAGAGACCATCTAACATGTTTTTAATTTTATGGTAGTGATAGAAAGTCCATCTAGATTTTTTCTTTCTATAAAGAATCAATGAAACAAACTAGGTTAGATTGCAGCTTTTGTAAAAAATTTTGCATTTCCTATAGACTTTCAGTTTTTGAAAAGTTTGTATTTTCTTATTCCCCATATTGAGTTAATTAACAGAAAAATTCCAATTGTCTTATATAGTTAGTACTTTATTACTTATTTATAATATAATGTCAGTATCTGAAATTAGAACAGACCCTGGGCATTGGCATGCCTGAACCTTGTGCTACAGGGAGGAACAAATCATTGTAGTTGCCTGGTGACAGAATACTGAAAGGAAGTGAGGGAGGTATAGGTGGAAAGGTTGCAGATATGCAACTATCCAAGTATTGCACTACCCTCCCCACTCCTTGCCCATCTCCCAAAGCTTATGCTTTTTTATGTGATTGTTTGACTTGAATAAAAATGTTACCTAGGACATGGACACACCATGTATTTTGCTTTTTGCTCTATATTCCCTTAGAGATAGGCATAACTGGATTTTGGTCAGGTTATTTTCTTCTTGGTAATTTTAACACTAAAGGGTTATCTAATTTTACTATATTCATAGTGTTGTGCAACCAACACCACTATAATTAGTGAACATTTCTATCACCTCAAAAAGAAACCCTGTACCTGCTATTAGTCACCCCCCAATTCCCCCTGTCCTTTGACAAATGTTAATTTGCTTTTCTGTCTCTATGGATTTGCCTGTTCTGGACATTGCCCATAAATGGAATCCTATAGTATGTGGCCTTTTGTGTCCTGCATCTTTTACTTAGCCTAATGTTTCAAGGTTTTATCCCTATTGTAATATGTATCAGTGCTTCCTTCTTTTTATATGCTTTTGATACATTAACTAGATTTGGTTTTCTAATATTTTGTTAAGGATTTTTGTATCTGTATAAATGAGTGAGGTTGACACAGTAATTTTTTCTTCCTTGCCCTTTCTTGCCTGGCTTTGGTATCATGGTTTTAGGTTGATAAAATGAATCAGAAGGTATTTTCTTGGTTTTCTCTTTTCTGAGTTTATGTAAGTTTGAATGTTTGATAGAATTTACTTCTGAAACTGTCTGGATCTGTTTTCTTTGTGAGAAGGTTCAGTTAGAATTTGTCATTACACCAAAGTTTTCAAATTTATTTAGACTTTATTAAAATTATAGTATTCTCTTACCATTTACATTTCTGCTGCATCCATACTTAAGTTCCTCTTTTTAATCTGAATGTGTGTATGTGTGTCTTCCTTCTTTTTTTCTTGATTATTCTCACCAGAGATCAGAATTTTTATTAGCCTTTTCAAATAAACATCACTTTGCTTGTTTGATCTTTCTGTTATAAGTTTGTTTTATGTTCAATTCACTTGTGCTTCTCTTTTATTCTACTTTGCTTTTTTAAAAAAAATCTATTTTGGTTTGTTTATTCTTTTATTTTTATAAGATTTCACTTGAAAGTTTAGGTTATTTTCTTATATGAGCATTTGATGCTATGAAGTTCCCTAGGTACTATCTCAGTGCTCCTAGAATTTTAATATAGAATAGTTTCTTTTTATCATTATATTATTTACCCCCTTATTTGCATTATGATTAATATTACTTTTTAACCCTTGGGTTATTTAGAACTGTGTTTTAAAATTTCTGAACAGATTGTTTTTAAATTCATCTTTTTTAAAAAATTCATTTTCAACTTAACTGTAGTAGGTAAGATTGTGCAATTTGTGTAATTACTAATTCTCTGATATTTTAAAGATGCATTTTATGACCTAGCATATTGTCAGTTTTTTATAAATGTTTCCTGTTTGCTTGATAAAAATATATACTGGTTATTGTATGTTAATATGTTATTAAATCATGCCTATTCTGTTGCTCACATCTTTTTAAAAAAATTTGCCTTATGGATTAATATTTAAGGGAGGAATGAGGAAATCTGCGTGAGAGGGTGTTATGTTGAATATGTTAGTGTCTTCTTACAGTTCTGCCTATTTTCACTTTATATATTCTGAGGATGTATTTCGAAGTGCTTATAAGCTTAAAATTTTTATATCTAATTGAACCATTTATCCTTGTCAAGTAATTTTCCTTTATCCTTAATGTTAATTTTTGTGGTAAGGTCTAATTTGTCTAATATTGTAGAACTACACCAGCTTCCTTTTAGGATTTGAGTGTTATTTCTTTTTCCATACTTTTACTTTTGAACTTTTCAGTGTCTTTACATTTAGGTATATCTCTTATAACTTGTATGATTAGGTTTTGAAAAATCCTTTGTCCATCTTTGGCTTTTTGTTGCTAAGCTTAGTTCTTTTATGGTTATTTTGGTTATTCATATAATTGGTCTTGTTTCTTACTGTCTCACTCTGCGTACTTTCTCTTTGTCTCACCTTTCCTGTGCTTGTTTTTTTATCACAGAAAATTATATACTTGACTTCTTTCCCTCCTGTCATGCCTTATTTTGGATTTTTTTCACTGAATGCAACTTTTCTTATTTATTTTTTCTCTGTTAATTTAGAAATTATATACACTTTTTATCCTTTTAATGGTTACATTAAAACTTTTATCATGCAAACGTTAAATTTAAAGTTAAAACATTTTCGTAGCCTTCTCAAAACGCAAAGATTTTCAAGCATTTTAACTCGGTATTTACCTCCCTTCCAACTCATGATGTGATTGTCCAGTGTACAGACAATGTGTGTTTTCATACAGTTATTGCTTTGTGCTTATTTTTTCTTGCATCATAGATCTTTCATCTGGGAATTTCCTTCCGTCTGACATTCATCTTTTAGGAATTTCTTTACAGTATAGTTCTGCTTCATGTCCAACTCATTTTTTTTTTTATCTGAAAATTCTTTTATTGCCTTCATTCTTGTAAGATACTTTCACTGGGTGTATATATTGGTTGATAGTTTCTGTTATTGAAGATAACATTTAATTCTCTTTTGACTTCATCACTGTTAAGTCAGCTGTACTTCTAATACTTGGTTTCTTTGTTGGTAACTAGTTTTTTGTTTTTTCTTTAATTTCTGATTGCTTTTAGTATCATCTCTTTACCTTTGGTGAATGACAGTTTCAGCACCATGTTTTTCTAGTGGATTCATATTTATCTTGTTTGGGATTTGTTGGGCTTCAGAGACAAGGGGATTGGTCTTTGATCAGTTCTGGAAAATTCTCAGCCATTTTTCTTTAAATTGCTTCTGTCCCATGTACTCTCTTTCTGGGACGTGGATTAGATGTATACTGCCTTTTTGTTCTGTCCTCTATGTCTATGTCTCTTAACTTCTCTTTCATATTTTCTATCTCTTTGCTTCTCTGTGATCTGAAACCAGACAAGATTGAGGTAGGTAAACATGAAAGCCAGATTTGCCCACATGGCAAATATTAATATTAGCCCTGGGATCCAGACACTGAGCCTTGGATCCAACCCAAGATAGGAGTGTTGCAACTGAGATGTTTTCATGAAGATAAGATTCTTGAGAAACTAAAGCATATCATCTGGCCTCCTGGCAGATGCAAATCCAGATGTTGTATGAAGGAAAGCACCCTCAGTTTAAGGCCTAAGTATTCTTTAGTATTAGGCTCAACTAAATATGAGTTCATAAATAAAAAGAGACAGAAATAAACCACCATGAATGAAAGCACAAATACAACAAATTTCATATTTGGATATCCAGAGACTTCAGATATAAGGAATTTCTTTCCTTTGCTTGAACTTAAAATGTATTAAAATATACATTTGCTTAAATTGACTTGGGATTCAGTTTTATTGTAACAGGAGGGCCCTTTGGACATCTAGTCTGCCATAGTGGCATACGTGGAAGACTAGTGGAATTTTTTTATTTACGAGTTAATAATTAAAGTCTTGAAGTGATGGTCATACTCTTAGGAAGGTTTTTTTTGGCAGAGCTTAAGAATAGCTTCTTTTAGAATTATTAGATCTGTTTTTTTCTAAGTTAATAAAAGATGTTTGGAAAAGATTGTATGGAATGATTTAAAAAATGGTTATTTAAGGCATCTTGAATAAGACGAAAATTAGAATCTGTGTATCGTGTCAAAACAAACCAGCTTAGGTATTTTTATGTATTAGAGATACAGCATTATTCTGTATACATTAAGGAATGAAAAATATATCATTGTATGTCTTGACATTATATATTCCTTTTTTTTTTTTTTTTTAACTGTAATTATCAATATTCCTTCTACCCTTTTCTGCCCTGGAATTTTTAGGCGTAATATTCATGGGGTAAGCAAAGAAAAAATAACAAGAATGTTGGAACACTACCAGCGTTTTGTTTCAGTGCCAATAATCATGAGTTCTTCAGTTCCAGAGAAAATTGAACGTATTGAGTTGTGTGCATATTCTTGTGAGGACAGAAGTACTAGGTAGGTTAAAGTCCTTGTGTACAAAAATTCAATTTGAAATATAATTAAAAAAATAATTTTGTAGCTTGTGAAACCACTGCCAAGTAACTTTTAAAAATAAAAGTAGATGTTTGTTATTTGTAGAGTTTAGATCATTGTCTTACCTGAAGCAAGATGTATCTTGTTAGCAAAAGAAGTAAATTTATGTAAGCAATGACATGGGAGTTTTTTCACTGTTCTTAGGGTTTTGTGGGTCCATGTTTATACTGTGAATACTACTGCTTTCTTTATGTGACTCCCGCTGTTCCAATATTCATTGATTATTGCCTGTTGGTATTTTGTGTTTCTTTAGATATTAGTGAAAATACTTTTTCTGGTTAGTATTATAAAAATTAATTATTAATGAAATGCTTTGAATAAGTAATACAAGTCGTAGCCTTTTGAAAGTTTGCAATCCGGGAAGGTACCGATTCTGTTAAATATTTAGGACATATAAACAATTGAATAAATAGGTGAGTTAAAGAATGACCTTAACTATAGATAGAAGTCTAAATCACCCGTACCTTTTGATGCGAAGGGCTGGTAAGTCTCTCTTAAAAAGGAGATGAAAAGAGAAAATTCATAAATGCTCTTTTATTGAGGGGCAGTGTTCCAAAGTGGTTTAGAGCATGGCTCCTGAGCTGCTTCCTGGCTTCAAATTCCAAGGCTTTGTAATCTTTGACAAATTATAGAATCTCTTTGTACTTCAGCTCTTCATTTCTAAAATGGCAATCACAACACTTTGCTCATAAGAATTTCATAAGGATTATGAATTAATACTTAAAAAGACTTAGAATAGCATCTGGCATGTAGAAAACTCAGATGTGATTTCATTAGGAAGCTTCATGGGAGAGGTGGGACTTTGAGAGCTCCTGGAATAAAGAGAAAAAGGAAGATGAGTTGATAAATTGACTAAGGAAAAAGCATTGAAGTTGAAAGTGTAATGATTAGGCAAAAGTGCTGTTAAGTCTGAAATTAACAGAGGATGGTTTTAAAAAATTTAACAGGTGACATTTCAAATGACAGCTCTCCTCCCTTTCTCTCATTTCTCTTAGTTGTGCAAATCATGTTGACTCTTTGTGACTTTGTAAATGAAGCTTAAGCATTTTCCTCTGTAGCAAATGACAGATGTTAATAGAGGCAGACCTCGTTTCACATATATTAAGCTATTAAAGTTTTGAAAGAAGCCAGGTGTCCTCTTCTGGGAACAAATTTAGAACCTTTAATATTTAATGCATATGAGCACCTTAACTGAAAATCTCATGTTTATTATTCGAAAAAACTTTGAGTGCTTCCTATATGCCATGCATTGTGTTACGTGTTAGGGTTACAATAAAGGGATGTATTCAAAATGTACTAGAGGAAGATCAAGATTAGCTTTTATAATTTTAATGTAGTTTATTTATAGAAGTTTTAGAAGAAATGTTAAGTGTCTTGTCTTTCAGTTGAATGCTTCTTTAATTAAAATCATGTTAGTGGCAACATTAAGAGACTTCCTTATAATACTTTAAAAAAAATCTTACAGCCCAAGAGACAATGAAGATATTACCTCTGAAAAAGAAGAAAATGTTTTATCCTCATCTCTGAAGCATCTAGAGTTAATTGAAGAGAAGAAACTTGAAGTGACCAAAGAAACTGTATTACCTGAGAATGTTACATATCTCTCTAATGCAGATTTAAACAAAGGAAGAAAAGAAATAAGTGGTATGAATCCTAACAATCAGAGTGCTTTCATTCAGGAAGTTTCAGACATGTGTTTTTCTGATTCTGAAAGCAAAGTACAAGCAACAGAAAAAAGTGAGAAAGAAGAACAAGTAGAAATGGCTCCTGAAAAAGAGTATAGTAAATCTGATGCAGATAGATTTGTAGAGAGAGTGTCACTTAGTATTTGCTATGGTGAAAATAATCAAGAAGACTATGATCCTTCAAATACTATACCATTTCAAAATGACAAGCCTTCACCTGGTGAAATATTGGAAGAAAGAGCCACGGTAAGGAAAAAAGCCTTTGGAAAACAAAAAAGCAAATCAACTTTGGAAAAGTTCCCAAGACATGAGCTATCAAATTTCGTTGGTGATTGGCCGGTTGATAAGACTATTGGCCAGAGGACAAAAAGGAACCGAAAAACTGAAAAAGCTTCATCTGTACAAAGTGACAAAAAGTATAATCACCCTCAGGCACGCAAAGTGTTAGATAACAGTCTATCTGTGAATATTGATCACATCCAGCAGCGAGAATCTCCACATGAAAGTACAGAGGATGACAAGAAATCACAGTATGATGATGCTTCAGAATCTTTCAGTAACTGTCAGTATGATCCGTATAAAAATACTGAAAAACAGGCATTCAGCATTGTGGGCGACTGGCCTTCATCTGATTCTTTAGCTCAGAGAGAGCACAGATCTAGAATGCTGAAAGATGGCTTAAAGGAACCCAACCTAGAATTTGGAACTAATGACAGTATGAATGAAATATCCTTCTACACAGCACATGAGGCCTGTTGGGGCACGAGCCCTGAAGAACTAAAAACATTGGGTAGTTCCAGTTCCACTCTAGGAACTTCTGAATCGCCATCCAGTGAAATGACCTGTGAGAATAAAACTTGTCCAAGTAAAAAGATTCATAGACAAAACACATTGTCTCTTACTTTTACCGATAGTGGGCCAACTATTCCTGGAGTAGTGGGACCACAAACTTTAGCAGAATTTCCAGAAGGAAAACTTAAAAAAGTCACTGGAATAGAAGAAGGCGTGTGTACCCAGACTGAACCACAGGATTTTGCCCTCTTATGGAAAATAGAAAAGAATAAAATTAGTGTTTCAGATTCTGTGAGAGTATTAACAGGACGATTAGATGGATTTAAACCAACAGCTTTCAAGATTAACACGAAATTAGACGTTCAAGAAACAATTCCATATAGGGTAATGTATGATAAAAGCACATATGTTGAAGAAAGTGAGCTCACCAGTGCTGATGAATCTGAAAATCTTAACATTCTTTGTAAACTCTTTGGGTCCTTTTCATTAGAAGCCCTAAAAGACTTATATGAGAGGTGTAACAAAGATATTATTTGGGCTACAAGCCTTTTGTTGGATTCTGAAACTAAATTATGTGAAGATATTGAATTTGAGAATATCCAAAAATCGTATGATGAAGCACAAATTGGGCCATTTTCTCTGGGATTAAATTTGAAGGAAATTATTAGCCAAAGAGAAACCTTGGAGGATTCTTTGTCTTCTGTGCCAGAATTTGGTCGTGGTGCTGTTGGCAGTAACACTAATGTGCAGTCTACCTGTGATTCAGAAAAGGGAACCTCAAAACAGGCAGAAATAAGAGCTATCACTACTGAAAAACCTGGATTTATAACAGATTTCTTTCCTAATGCCACTACAGATCTAAATAATACTAATGAAATACTTCTGGGTAGTCAGGCAGAACTTCCAGGTTTATATAACAGTAAGCAGTCTTTTCCAGGTACTCTAAAAGCTACTACTGCTAAAGATGTGAGGGACATGGAGAAGAACCTAGAAGTCACAGAAATTGGAGACAGTGTATATTCTTCTTTGAATTTGTCTGATATTTTAAACTCTGTGGCGAGCACTTCACATCTAGAGTTAAATGAAGAAGTTGATTTTACTGACTCCGTTGAAATAAAGAAAAATGAAAATCTTCCTAAGGCTTATGTGAAATTTCCAAACACTGAAGAATTTATGAATGAAGATGAACAGGAAATGGAAAAAATTCTAATGGCTGAGAGTACTTTGTCAGCTGGAGTTAGTGAAGAAGATAAAACTGAGATATTGAATCCCATGCCAGTGACGGCCAAGTCTCTGACCATAGACTGTTTGGAATTGGCATTACCTCCTGAGCTGGCTTTTCAGCTCAATGAATTATTTGGCCCTGTTGGTATTGATTCAGGTAAAGAAAAAATGGATTACCTCTATGTGTAGTCTTTGTGTGAATAGAAACAGATTCAGGTTTCTGTCTCCATTTTGAAATCGAGTTCTCTGTTAACCAAAATATACCTTATTTTTGAAACATTTGTTTATAGAGTATTTTAAAAAATGTAATTTAAATAAATAGAGAGTATTTATATGGAGTTTGTGTTCATCCTGTGCATATATTGAAAGTTTTCTGGGTATTTGCCTCATACTTATTTGCACAGATGAACCTTTTTGAATCCGTGGTGCTACTCCAGATATACTTAAGGCAAGATTAATTTCTTAAAACACACTTCTTGAAAAGCCTTGACTAATGGAAATCAATATATACATTTAAACTGATGGTCAGGAATAACTTAAATATATGAAGCATTATATAATTGCACCCACCAAGAAGTGTAAAAACAGTGACATAGTACATAAACAAGATTATTTTTGGAGCTTTAGAAGTAGAAATATAGGTTAGTAATATGAATTAGTTTTAGGATGCATAAGATGGTTGAGTATGTTTTCTCAAAATGTATAATGAGTAATGATTATATTTTCTTTTCTTTTTTCCCTCCTCACAAGGGTCTCTAACAGTTGAGGATTGTGTGGTTCATATAGATCTGAATCTGGCTAAAGTGATTCATGAGAAATGGAAAGAATCTGTAATGGTTGGTAGGCTTCTTTTTATAAAGAGCTCCTTTTGTGTTCGCCTTTGCTCTTAATAAAATCTGTATGAAAAATTTCTATTGAATTTTGACTTTGAGAGAGAATGAATTTTTATCAGTAAACAGGTTACTGATATTTTTTCTCTTTCCAGTACTTTAGGTTATTTCCAGACGGGCCAAATTATATAACTAATCATGGAGCTCAGTATGATTGTTGACTTTTTAAGAGAAAAAAATCATAAATAGTTTTTACTCTAAAGACTTGCAGCACTGATTGATTAGATATCAAAAACAGTTAAAAAAAAACAGCCTAAGAGCTCTGTTAAGTGGAAAAAATATATTAATATAGGCCTACTTCATAATCTTATCTAATTTCATTGTTTTACTTAGATTTAGCAAGAACAGTTGATAGTTTTACAAGGAGAAGTGATTTCTAGAGAAAAATAATATAATCTTATTTTACAATGCACCCTCCTTTGCCAATCCCCTGTTCTACATTTGTGTTTAGGAGCGACAAAGACAAGAAGAGGTATCCTCTGGCAAGTTTATGCGAGGTAAAGCACATATTTTTACTTCAAATGTTCTTGTCATGATGTTGAATCTTGGTGGTGTTTGTGTATGAATTTTACTGCGTCATTAAATATACTTCCACAGAATGTGTTACCTAAGAATTTTGATTTGAAATTAAAATTCTTTTAAAATATTTAACATTTAACATTGAAATAAAATAAAACTAGAAGAACTAAAAAAAGCACCTGTAATTAACTTTCATGAGTGCAGTGGACCACCTTTGGTGTGCTCTAAAACATATAGTCAGGGTATTTCCTGTTTAAGATTTTGTTCTGGTTCAAGACGACTAAAATGTTCAAGTGTTTGATTGAGAGCATCATTCAGCTATTATGGTTATTCAGAATTTTTATTGATGTTAATGTTATTAGAGCACAAAAGTCAGTCTGCTTTTGGAAACTGCCAAACTGACAATATTTGATTCCAGACACTTGTTAGGTGGCATTGTTCTCAGTGATTAGTGCAGGGTGGCAGACCTGTTAACAGGGGCCTCTTTTTGTGCATGTTTCCTTCAGACACCTCTTTTGTCTGCTTCACACTAGGACTCCAGGTTGAAGATTCTTTGGGTATGCTTTTGTTGTAGCTTCAAGAGCTAAAGCTGTTTGAGAGCTAGAGGTACTAGAAGGGTATCAGAGTTTACGTGGATGGTAGTATATGCTGTTTCTTTATTCTCTGGGAAAGCAAAAGAATATATAGAATATGGCTGATACCCTTAGAGATGCTGAAATATTATATATTAAATCTTGTTATTGTGAACTTCTTAGAATGTTCAGTTTCTTCCTAGTGTTGAATATGATTTGTTCAGTATTTGTGGTGTGGCTCTAGTGGGTTGCAGGTTTGCCAAAATATTGGTCATTTTCAGGCCTTGGAGTGGCTGAGCAGAGCTACTCTAGCTGGTCACTGCCACTGGGCTGCAACTCCCTTTGTTTACCAGTGTATGTGTGTGTCATTTTTTCTGTGTCGATGGGATACAAAAAGGAGTGGAGGGAGGCACCTGGGTGGCTCAGTTGGTTTGATCTTGATTTCAGCTCAGGTCATGATCTCCCAGTTCTTGGGATTGAGTTCCATGTCAGCATGGAGCCTGCTTGGGATTCTTTCTCCTCTCTCTCTCTGCCCTTCTCCCCCCAGCGTGCACATGTTCTCTCTCTTTCTCTCCCCCTTTCTCTCTCGATAAATATTAAAAATAAGTAGAAAGCATTGAGTTGATTTACAGTGATACCCAGATCCTTGCTCATTTGAAATATTCCTACATTTATATATATTTCTTGCTTGCAATTATGTGATGATCTATTTTGAAACTTCAGAGTTATGTTGTATAAGCTAGATATAAAAAAAAATCATGTTTCTTTGGTCTTTCTGAGGTAGTTGTAATAGAATGAGTAATGCTTAATTTGTGTATTTATTGTTGAGTGTCTGACACTTTTTATGATGCTTTTGTAGATCCTTCCCAGGTTGGGAGTATTGGTCTTGATAATCCTGAACAAAAGCCATCTCAGAGAACAGGCAAAAAATTACTGAAGACTTTAGCAGCACCTGAAATGCAACCCTTATTGGATCATTGGAACACTCAAACTAAAAAAGTGTCACTCAGAGAAATAATGTCAGAAGAAATTGCCTTACAGGAAAAACATGATTTGGTATGAGTTAGTATAACCATTAAGACTTTGTCTCTGACTCTAGGTTGATTGTATGTTTACGTTGTGATTTTGATTTGATTCTGTATTTTCTAGTCTGGAATCTGTATTTAACCTGATTGAATTTAATGTTAAAATTGAAAATTGTTTTGAAGTTTGAAGCTGGAGGTTTTGCCTCTGGGAGATTAGTTGATATTCTATAAAAATAAGCCAGTCTGTATTAAACTGTTATTTTAGATTTAATTTTGTAGGTGGTTGAGCTGCATTTTTTTTTTTTTTGGCTTTTAGCACTTATCTGTATAATTTTTTAATTTTAGAAAAGCATGAAAGAAATCTTTCATTTGAAGATAATTTTATTCATAAATTGGTGGAAAGAAATGTTTGTCTTGCTATTAAAGAACTATTGCAACTTTAAGACAAAATTTTTTAGAGAAAAATTTTAGAAACTTATGAATTTGAATTTAAAAATTGAATACTCTTGGGGCGCCTGGGTGGCTTAGTCGGTTAAGCGTCCGACTTTTGCTTAGGTCATGATCTCGCGGTTCGTGGGTTCGAGCCCTGCGTCGGGCTCTGTGATGACTGCCAGCTCAGAGCCTGGAGCCTGTTTCAGAGTCTGTCACTCCCTCTCTCTCTGACCCTCCCCTGCTCACGCTCTCTCTCTCTCCCCTTGAAATTAAAAAAAAAAAAAAAAAAAAATTGAGTACTCTTCTTTTTCTGACTTTCAGTCAAACAAGTTCAAAGAAACTTTATTTTGAACTTTTTGTTCCTTATTTAGCATATCAAATTTTATGAAGCCATAAGTGAATTTGGTTTCTTTTGCATTTCTTCTTAGCCATTTTTGGAATTTTGAAAATTAGTATTAGAGAATTTCAGAATCAAAAAGGAAAAGAACTTAGAGGTTATTTAGTCCAATTCTCAAAGAAAAGAAATAATTCTTAGATGGTGATCTAAAACATTTTATTTGCTTTCTTATTTGACTCTTCAAAGGAGCACCTTTATATTTGGCTGACATAAATCGACTTGGGGCATAGGAAGAATGGTGGGATTCTTCTACCTTCATATTTATTTTCCCCAGTTATCTCGTGAATTAAATTGGAAATGTTACCATTTTTGCATGTTTACATAATCCAAGAGCAGTCTCTTTGGTAACGTCTTAAAATGTAGTGTTGTTTCAAATATCCTTTTCATTTGTATATGTAATACATTGGAGAATGCGTTTTGTTAAAAAGAATAAGGAAATCTTAGAACTTATGCCCAAATGGTGTGGCACCTTTTGCTGAAATTCCATTTTTTAATGCTGAAACTTATAGTTCTAATCTGTCTTTTAATTTCTCAGTGTAATAGTGAACAAATGAGTACATTGGCTTCCCATCTTATGCATTTTTCTTCTGACTGTCAGTGAATTTTGCTTATCTTTCTCTGGGTTGGGTAATAGAAGCTGAACTTATATGGTCCCCAGGATACTTCTTAGATAGAGCCTCAGTAAGAGAATTTTCTTAATGCTTTCTTTTCACTCTTCATCTCCAAAGGAGAAATACACTTTGTATTTTTTTAAAGCAAAGAATATAAAATAAACATTAGGCATAATATATGAATAAAATAAGTTCATGAGTTTTCAGTTCATTAATGAGACCTTAGAATTTGTAGTTTAGAAACACTGTGACCTGGTAGAGTGGTAGTAAACCTGATCACTGAATTTTTAAATAAATTCAGATTATAATATGTATCTTAAATAAAATGTGAAATATTTTTAATTCTTGAGGTGGCTTGTTTCCAATACTCTTGTGATGTATGATGTGTTCAGCTATACCAGTCCCTTTTACTGGACAGATTGTCACCTGTTGTGAATCCTCTTTCATTGTTGTTTAATGTTATAAATGACCTAAATTGTTAGGGCTGTCTTAGATTACTGGAATTTTTATAGTTTCAGAGTCACCTTTGAAATTTTATAGGAAGTTATTTTTCAGATATTAGCCTCTTGCTAGCAAACAAAAATATTATGTACTTACATCACAACGTCAACAAATTGTTTTAGAGTTAGAAATCACTTTAAGAATGTTTACCATAATCCAAGGTTAGAATTTAAAAAGCACATTTTTAAGAAAGTTCTTTAGTTTGGCAATTTAAAGAGATCCAATTAAGACTTGTGAAAAAATAATAATTAGTGACAGTTCTCATATAGTTATTTTGGAGTAAATATGTTTGTGAAAATTTTTAAGATTGTGAATTTTAAGATTTCCTGTCAACCTGAATTTGCAACTTATTTGTACATTGTAGTTTCTGCCCATTGAGGAGAATATGTTTTTGAGGACGTTGTTCACAGCATCACACAGTGTCCCTTTAATGAGGACCCATGGGAGAAATTTCTCTCAGGTCTCAGTACCAGAAAAAGCTGTACTTCTCCTGAGCAACTGGTTTGTTTTTATTTTATGGACACTGAGAATCTTTGTTTCTCCCTTTGCTTTGGCCACTAAGAAGCTCAGAACTGAATTTGTGGCCCACCTTTAGCAACTGTACAGGATTTTATGGCATGCGTTTATATACTAATTCTACTTGCCAGCTTTATCCTATATTCTTACTTTACTCTCTGACTTCATTTATTTATATCCTGTTTATATATGTGTACATATATCTTCATCTTTTTTAATACAATATGTCTAAATGTGCTGGGTATGTTATGAGAGTGTATATATATTTATATATATTTGTGCATATGTATGTACTTGTGTGATTGTGTATATCAAAGAACAGCTTCAAATACTTTGCAAAAAATGGGATATAAATAAATAGTGCAAGAATACTTATATTACTAATTTCAGTCTTAAATCAGTGAAGAAAGTCTGCGATTGCTTTTAAATTATTTATCTTTTTGCAACAAAATAACCATGCTTTTGGATCAACATAATTAGTTTTATAAATTCCATTTGAAGGTTGATTTATGTCTTTTTTGTTTGTTTTAGAAAAGGGAGGCACTTATGTTTGAAAAAGATTGTGCCACTAAACTAAAGGAGAAGCAGCTCTTTAAGATATTTCCAGCCATTAACCAAAATTTTCTGGTGGACATTTTCAAGGACCACAAGTGAGTGATAGGATTATCTATAATTTCTATTGTGATGTTATTGAAAGTGTGTCATTTTAATTTTTCTGATAACAAATAATATCAGTATATTATAAACCATTTAAATGCAATGTACATAATGCAGAAAGTGAGCAGGTTTTGGAAATTGGTTTATAGTCCTCTATTTTTTTCTCATATATACACTACTGTGTGTGCACTTATATGTGTAAGTCAATTTTTTTTTTTTTTTTTTTTTTTGGATAAAGGTGTTCTGTGTTATAAGTACTGATAGTGTAATCCACCTTGGATGTTAAGAATCTTTAAAATTTTGGGGATCCTGATAGGTAAAATATTACATCGTTGTTTAAATTTTAATTTTGTGGATTACTAGGAAGGTTGAGCCTTTCCCATTAATTTATTTTTCTATTGCTTAGCTTTTGCCTGTTTTCCATTTGGTTCTTTGTAATTTTTCATTTGTGAGAGCTCACTTTATATGTTATATGTAGTTGTCTTTATTTCTATAGATTAGAATTATTTTTTAACTCTGACACTTAACTTTTTAACCTGGTATATAGTCTCTTTGGGCACATACGTGTTTTAATTCATTTGTTTTATCAGAAAATCATTTCCTTTATTGTTTCAGAGTTTAATGTCATGTTAGGAAGTCTGTCCTTCCTCAATATTATAAAAATATTTTCTTCAGTATTTTTAATAGTAAAAATGTTTTAAATAATCTAGCTTTTCCCATTTATCTAGGAGTTTTAAATTTTCAAAATCTAAATTTTATGTGTATGGTATGAGGTAGAGATTTAAACTTGTTTTCCAAATAATCAACTGGATGAATAGATCATCTTCACCCACTGATATAAAATATAACCACTATTATTTGCTAAATTCCAAAATACACATTTTCTTTTAAAGATTTTTCAATTCTTTTGAGCTCTTCGTTTGGTCTTGAGTTTCCACCATATTGTTTTAATTATCGTAGTGTTATGTACAGTGTTTGATGTTTGGCATGTTAGGAATACTTCTGGATTGAATAATATATATTTCAATCTTAACATATTTCTTAAATTTGTATTTAGCAAGAGATGTTTTAAATAGATGCCTTTTTTTAATAACTGAGAATTGAATATAGGTATTTTACTTTAGTTTATTAGTGTATTTCAATCATAATAGTAAATTTCTCGAATAAAACCTACTTAACCTTCAGATTTTTGTTTTTGATTTTTTTTTCTTTAAATGCAGTTTAAGAATTGATTTCAGGATTTTTGCAAAAGCAGTTAAATGAGATTGGTCTGTGATTTTCTGTTCTTGTGCGATCTTTGGCAGATTTTGGTTTCAGAGTTTTATTTGGTATTAGACTTAATAAAATAACCTGGAAAGACTGCTATTTTTCTCTATGCTCTAGAAAGTTTAAGTAAATTAGTACCTTGAACGTTCTGGAGTTGTACCTTTTCAGAGAGAAGCTCTTCAGCATCTTTCACTGTCTTAAGGTTATTGCTTTGTTCAGATTGCTTTTTTCATGAGTCTGTTCTGGTAGTTTGTTAGAAAATCAGTTTTACCTTAGTTTTCAACTTTATTATTGTTAAGTTATATATAATCTTTGATAGTTAAAAACACTGTTTTGTATTTGATCGTATTCCTTTTTCCTTTCCTAAGGATGTTTTTTTTCCTGTGTTCTGTTTTTGCTCTTTATCAGATTGGCCTTTTTATGAATATGCATGTCATCCTTGTGCAGGGGGCATGGAAATCTTCTCTGTATCTTTACAGTTTTAGTATATGTGCTGCTGAAGTGAGCACCAGATTGACTCTTTTAAAGAACAAGCTCTTGTTTTATTGATCAAAGTCTTATTTTATGTTTCTAATCATTTTTTTTGTTGTTTTTAATTTTGGTGATTCCTTTCTATTTTTGATAATTCCTTTCTCTTAAAATTTGATGTAATTTACTCTTTGGCTAGTTTGTCTTCTTTCGGTCTTTAATAACAAATACTTTTAAGGGCATTAACTTTTTCTTTGTGTCATGTTTGATATATATGTAATATTTTGATTGTGATACATAGTATTTTCATTTTTATTATTTTTAAAATAATCTCTAATTCAGATTGATTTTCTCATTTACCCAAGACTTTTTAATTTTCTAAATGGTTTGATGGCTTTGGTGGTGAATGGGGTGAGGGTTATTGCTTATTTTCTTTTGTTTTATTGAGGTACAAGAATGTGGCCTGGAAGAGTTCTTTTTGGAATTTAATATTTTCTTTGTGGTTTAATCCATGATCAGTTTTTATAAAGATTACATGAAAGTGCTTTTGTAAAAGAATATTCTCTGCTGAGTGTGTAGAGTTCTAAAGATGTCACTTAAATCAGATTTTTAATGTTATTCCAATCCACAATTTCCCTATTTTTGTTACTTAACTTGCTGTTTTCTTAGAGTTCTGTGTTAAAATCTCCCCGAGGGATGGGGTGGGCATGGGGATTAAGGAGGTGGCACTGGTATATGGCAACTCTCTTTTATGGGGACCCGGGACAAGAAGGTCTGATATGAAAAAATCCAAAGTTGTGGGTCTTCAGGCAAGGTAAGGGGGTCCGAGTGAGTCCTTCCCTGGGGATGCCCAGAATGATGGGTTAGTCTGGCCTATCAGGGTAGGTGGTCAGTTGCCTCCATTTGTTTTCCAGCATCTGTATAACTTTTTCAGTTAGCAGTAGCTTCTCTATCATCCTGGTAAGAAGGGTAAGTGCTTTCAGTTACTGCGAATATGCCTACAGTACAATGTTCCAGGACCATACCCCTCTAACACCACTAATGGTAGATACTGTCTTCCAGCCCCATGAGTAAGCAAACCCGTAATTTTAAGGGCCATTTAGGATGTGGATAACTGCTGGTAGCTTCTAGCTCCTAGGAACCTCTATTTGTTTTGTTGAGCATATCTTAGGCAGCAAGATCAGGGCTAAAGTGGAATTAGTTGTTCAAAATGGTTCTCCATCAAAGGTTGTCTTCATTAAATTGAAGAAAAAACAAAATGTCTTGGGTAACTTGGGTACACTACTTGGGTAACTATTAACATTGCATAAATAGTCCTTTCTGGTCAGCTCTTCATTACATGGTCATTGGAAGAGATCAGAGGCATATAGTTTGAAGTAATGAGCAGCATAAAATCATTTATAATTTGCTTTGGAATGAGTTTCTTTAGATATTGGAACATGAGTGTTTCAAGTCTGTCAATTCGTAGAATTTGATACTGCACGCAATATCGAATCACTGTGAAAATATGCATGAATAATAGGGGTGAGAGTATAATAGTGTTTTACTTTTTCCTTTCTGTGTCCCTGCTTAGAATTTGTCTGACTAGAACCTTATGGTTTAAGTAAAAAGTAGAATTTGACACAAGGAAAATGTCAGTTTAAAGATCTGTTGTCTGTGTTCGGTGTTTGAAGGAAACTGAAACCATGTGTGAAACCAACAAGGGACCTAAGAAGTATAGGTGATAAGATAAAGTAAGATTTGTTGTGGATAATCTATCTGGAATAAAGATCAGACAATGAATTAATTATAATTATGTTACCTTTTGGTACTAATTTATAAAAATTAGCTTTTGGGAGTTTATTACTTAATTGTTTCCTTCTGATCATTCTTGAGTCTTTGAGATACTTAATGTCAATGTTTAAAACTTAGAAGTGAGCCAGCTTTTCATATTCTGAAATGTTTGAAGGGTTGCTTATGTTAATGCTTTTGTATAACTTTTATTTTTTTATTGACATCATATTTGTAACTTTCTACAGCTATTCATTAGAACATACAGTCCAGTTTCTAAACTGTGTTCTTGAAGGAGACCCTGTAAAAACAGTTGTAGCTCCAGAGTTTGTTCATCAAAATGAGAATGTCCCTTCTCATGCCACACAGAAGTCTAAGGAGAAAAAGGTATAGAGTTACTTATTTTTTATTATAAAGTAAATAATTGCATATGGAAATGTAATTTAATGATTATTTCTCACATTTCAACTAGATTGGAAATTTAACCACCAATAGCATATTTGACTTAGGATACCTGTTCAAAATAATGAATTTATAGCTGATTATGATTTTTTCTTCAGTGTCATTCTGTATGGTAAGCACTTGAATTTCTGTAACTTTTTCTGTATAGACCTCTACACAATAGTGTATGGGGCTTAATTGAGAACATTGGTACTATGGTGGACTTTAGAATGTAAATATGTTAAATGTCTAGGCAGAAAATTTTAACCATTTGAGAACCTGCCAGATTTTTTCCAAAGTGGCTGTACCATTTTATGTTCCCACCAGCAATGTATGAGGGTTACAATTTATCCACATCATCTCTGATACTTGTTAATATCTGTTTTTTTGATTATAGCTATCTTAGTGGCTGTGAAGCTGTCCTAAAGGTACATGGGATTTGTTTTAATCAGATATGGTAAGATGCTCAGATATGGAAATGTCCAGAAGGAAGAAATTTATTATACTCACAGATCTCTAGAAACAGGAGGCATGGCCTGCCACCTAGGGCCACATAGAAGAGAACCAGGGTCAGTCAGGAGACAGAGGGAGCAGAGGGGAAATGTGAGCAGGAGCCTTTTTTATGGTTTATGTGGGGAGAAACAGGTGAAGCCGGGTAAGCAGGTTTAGGATTGACTAGTTTGAACAGTTTCAGTGTGCTCTGGGGTGTAGGAATTGTCCCTGGTGTTCTGGTATCTGGCATGGGTGATTAGGCAATGTAGATGGTGGCCCTGAGGGAGAGAACCCCATAAAGAAAGTGGTTCAGAGTATGAGCTCCAAATTAATTGGTTTATGTATGTAAGGTATGTTAGCAGATGAGTTGTTTGCTATTTCTAGGAATTAGCTAACCCCAGGGTTGGGGGTACTGTCTTTCCAGAGGTTAGCAAGGCCCCGGATGTCAAATCATCAGAAAATAGGAAATAAGTAAAACAATAGTTAATAAAGAAGTGGTATCTTCTTGTCATTTGGATTTGCATTTCCCTGAAGACTGGTGAAGTTGAACACTTTTTTCATGTGCTTACTGAACATTTGTTTATCTTCTTTGAAGAAATGTCTATTTATATTCCTTGCCCATTAAAATATGTTTTTTATTCTTGAGTTGTATGAGTACTTTATATATATTCTAGATACAAGTCCCTAACCAGACACATGGTTTGTAAAATTTCTCCCATTTTGAGGGTTGTTTTTTTGCTTTTGATGGTGTCTTATTTGAAGCACAAAAGTTTTTATTTTGATGATGTGCAATTTATCTTTTTTCTTTTGTTGCTTGTACTTTTGGTGTCATATTTAAGAAACCATTGCCTAATCCAAGGTCATGAATTTTTTTGGTTTTCATGTTATATAGTAGTTTTTTTTTGTTTTGTTTTCTATGTTTCTTCTAAAAGTTTTATAGCTTTACATTTAGATCTTTGATCCATTTTGAGTTAACTCTTAAAAATTCTTTTTTTAAATGTTTGTTTATTTTTGAGAGAGAGAGAGAGAGCCCTGAGCTGTCAGCACAGAGCCTGATGTGGGGCTCGAACTCAAGAACCATGAGGTCATGACCCGAGCCGAAGCTGAATGCTTAACCAGCTGAGCCACCCAGGTGTCCCTGAGTTTATATTTTGTGTATGGTGTAGATAGGGAACTAAATTCATTCTTTTGCATGTGGATATCCAGTTGTCACAGCAGTACTTGTAGCAGAGACTTTTCTTGCCCCATTTAATTTCTTAGCACCCTTGTTAAAAATAAATTGACTGAAAAAAAAAAATGAATTGACTGTAAGTTTATTGCTAGACTGTCAGTTCTATTCCATTGATCTGTATGTCTGTCATTGTACCAGTATCACACTGCCTTGATTACTGTAGCTTTATAGTAAGTTTGTAATTGGAAAGTGTGAGTTTACAACTGTATTCTTTTCTTAAGATTGTTTTGCCTCTTCTGGTCCCTTTGCAGTTCTCAGCTTGCCATTTTCTGCAAAGAGCCTTTTTTAAAGTTTATTTATTTATTTATTTTTAGTAATCTCTGCACCTAATGAGACTTGAATGTATGACCCCCCCATAACAAGAGCATGCTCTTCTGACTGAGCCAGTCAGGCACCTCAAAGCCAGCTGGAATTCTTATGTGAAATGTCTTGAGTCTGTAGATAAACTTGAGGTGTATTGCCATCTTAACAATATTGTGCTCCAATCCATGAACATGGAGTATCTTTCAATTTATTTAGGTCTTATTTTCTTCAAGAATATATTGTAGTTTTGAGTGTAAGTTTTGCATGTGTTTGTTAAATTTATTACTAAGTTACTTTATTCTTTTTGATGCAATTGTAAATGAAATTGTTTTCTTAATTTTAGTTTTGGATTGAATATTACAAATGCATAGAAATATAATTGATTTTGTATATAAATTTTGTGTTAGCTTTAGGCTTTTTAAAAATCATCCTGTTATTCTTATTAACTAAGACCATAAGGGATAACTTGTGTTCTATTTTCACCATCCCTTTATTCATACATAGGATTCAGTTAATTTTTGTGTTTATGCCATCTTTTAGTGCTGAATATGCCATGTTCATCATGGATAGATAGCTGTAGTATTTCATAAGATGCAGAGAGGATACAAAATGATGATGAGACCGTCAAAGCCAAGTGGGAATGAAGGTTATTTCTTCTATCCCCTGATAATAGAGCAAGGTACTTTGGGTTATTATGGTGATAGAGGAGGTGATGAGAAGAAAGTGTGCCTGCTCAAATGGCAGATGATTGGAAGATGTTCAACTAAGAAAAGGAGATTTTGAGTTATGTAAACATTGGACAAA